TATTTGACTATCTGGGAGAAGACAACCTTTCCCAAGGTGTTTTGCATTTCTCAGTGCTGTTTGTGCCCCTGCTGTTTGCCCGGGGCAGGGAAATGTGCTTTCCTTTCACACTCAGCTTGTTTTCCTCTTGCCCACAGCTCTCTGCATCCAGTGATTTCCTTCCCTCCCCAAAGCTCCAGCCCTCCCAAGGAGTCCCAGCCAGCCAGGAGTTATTTTTTAGCAGAAAAAGAGCTTCCAGGACTTTATTCCAGAGCGGGGTGGAAGTGACCTCTGGGAATTCTTCCATTAGTGCAGGTGAGTGTGAGCAGGGGAGGGTTCCAGCTGCCCTCACAGAACAGACACATTTTGGTGCTTCAGGAGCCAAAAGGCTCCTCAAGAGCCTGGGCAAGACCAGACCTGATTTGTTCTCTCCCCGTGGCCCTTTGTGAGCGGCCCTGAGGCTTTGCCAAGTCAGCTCCCTCGCTGTGTTTTGGGGTTTTTAGGTGTTTGCTTCCCTTTATTGTCACACGCTCAAAGAGGGGATTGTTCCGGGGTTTCTTTTGCCCCCCTACAATTCCCGGTTGGAGCAGGGCCCTGGAGGAACAGCCAGTCCTTTCCCTTTTTCCCTCTGAGCTGTATTAAGGGGTTGCTTGGAGACTCTGGAGCTAAATACTCTCAGTGTATTTGGATTTTACACTCGGAGCTACACAGAGTCCTAATTCACCAGGAAATGCTGTTGTGCATTCTTTGCTGGACACCACGTGTTTCTGAGCCAGGAATTTGTGTTTGCTCTCGGAAGGTGCTATGGGCTCTCACCAGCCCCAAATTTCAGGGAAGTGTGGGACACTTGGATACCCACAGGCACGTGGGAAGAGTGGCAGCGTGGACTCGGAGTTACAGTTTTTGGGACTGAACAACTGTCAGCAGGACAAAGGTATGTGGGTTGTGACAGTGTCCTAACTCAGTGCATGGCACTCTGGAATTACCTCTGTATTTCTTTGCTGCCTTAAGAAATAAAAACCATTTCTGAAAGGATTTCCAGTCCCTGGTCAGACATATTTGTACCTCCTCCTGTGTATTTTCATTAATGGTTAATTTACAGCTCCCACCTTTGATATTTGACTCTATCAGGGTGTTACAGCACCACCTCTTCTGTAAGAGAATCAGAACTGTGCTTGACCTACTCGTGTCATCCTTTTATTTTAAATATAGTTCTCCAAAACAAGCCTGAGAAATAGTTTCAGGCTTAAACTCACATTTGGAGGGGCAATGCAAAGTGCAAAATGAAGGTACCTGATCTGCCTGCTTGGGTAAAACCTTCAGGCTTTGACAGTCTAGATGGTGTATTACTGCATTGCAAATTATTATTATTTAATTTTAGTATTATTTAATTTTAAATTATTTCTATGATGTATTCTTTTATTATAAATTATTGTGGTATATTATTTAATTGCAAATTTTTATGGTGTCTTGTTTCCTTGTAAATTGTTACGGTGTGATATTTCACTGAGAATTATTTTTGTGGTGCATTATTTGATTGTAAATTATTATTATTATTATAAGAGCTTATTATCACAAATACTCTTCTGTTTTCCTTTGCCCAGTTTCTTCCAGCCTGAATTTTCCCAGCAAGACCCAGAGAGGGTTTTGCACTCAGGCAGAACCCACCATGTCCTTCCAAGGCCTCAGTGCCAGCCAGGGCACCTTCATCCTGCCCTCCTACCCCCTGTCCTCCCCCAGGAGCAGCCCCAAGCACCTCTCCTCTCCAGCTGCATCTCCCAGGAGGGCCCAGGACGATCCCATGAACCTCTCCAACTCCTGGCCTCGCAAAAGCTTCGAGGGGCTGCCCAAGCCTGGCTCCCAGAAGCAGCTGCTCAGCCCAAAGTCAGGAGACAGCACAGGTAGGAACGTTCTCAGCGTAACAAAAAGGGATTTGGGGGTTGGATTTTGAGGGGTTTCAAGCAGTGGGCAGAAAACCCACAGTGGCAGGTGAGAGGGAGCTGGGCAGTGCCAGGAATGGGAGGGATTTCCAGCTGCCCTGCTCACAGCCCTGCAGGCTTCTCCTGAAAAGTGAAGCCTTTGCCATAAAGCACCGTGTCCCTCAGCTCTGCTTTTCTCCGCAGTGGTGTCCCAGGGAAAGGCCTGTCCTCAGAGGAAAAGGAAACCAACCCCCAAAATAGAGCACTTCAGAGAAAGCCAATAAGAAATACCTGTATTGTTAATGCTCTAATTAATACATGTGCAAGGAAACTGTTGCTCCTGCACTTTGTCTTTTATTTGAATCATGGAATCACAGAGGGGTTTGGGTTGGAGGGGACCTTAAAGCTCAGCTGGTTCCAGCCCCTGCCTTGGGCAGGGACAGCTTCCACGAGCAGGAATTGCATTTGGGAGTGGACACATCAGATTGCCCCCACTCAGAACAGCTTGGTAAAACCTGGTTACAAACAGCTACATCTCTCATGAGCAGGATTGGTGCTGATTTCATCCCAGGTCACACTGACGTGCCACAAACTGCTGTCTGTGCTCTGATTTCCTGTCTGAAGTCCTCCTGTACTCAGTGGTGAACCTTAATAATAAGCTTGAATAGTTTTAACATTATTTAATTACAATTGCTTAAGCAATTTAGCTGATTTCTTTCAAACACTTACTAAAGGCAATCTTGTTTTAGGTCTCTACTCTTTGTTTAGTTTAAATTGATTCCTAATCACTCAGGAGGCTCCTATAAACAAAGTAACAGCTTCCACATCAAACGAAAGAAATCTGTTTGAAATTTCATCTTCTTTGAGACCCGTATTTTGTGCATTTTTAGCAAATTTCTAACTGAATGCTTTGGGAGTCACCTGTCCCTGGAATGTGCCTTTATTATGTAGATGTGGTTGTCACTTACTGATTTTCTCTGTGTTTCCCACATGCATTTCAATTTTTTTTTGGTGTGTTTTGGAGTAATTTCACTGTTACAGAATTACAGGGGAGTTTGTTAGGGCATGAGTCTTTTTTTGTTCATTAAGAAAGGTAATTACGTTTTAAAGGGACTTATAAGAGCTTATTATGACAAATACTGTTCTGTTTTTTCCTGTGGGGCCAGGAGTTGGGCTTGGATGATCCCTGTGGTTCCCTTCCAACTCGGGCTGTTCTGTGATTCTGTGATTCTGTGTCGGTATCCACAGGCATGAAACTCTAATTTTTGTTTTCTTAAAGGAAGGAGACAGTAGAAGTGGAATAAATTGGTAACTGGGGCTGCACGAGTGTGTTTTGAACACTCCTCTCGTGGCAGCAGCAGTTCTGGGGTGTGACACTGAACCGGGGTGGGCAGTTTGTCCTGGGGCTGTTCGTGCCTCCCCTCCAGAGCCCTGACACCTCGCTGTGTGTGTTCCCCAGGGGAGAAGGTGCTGGAGAAACCCTCCCTGCAGCTGAAGCCCACGGTGGTGAGACCCCCCCTGCCCCGGCGGGGCCTGCCCGGGGCCCGGCCTGTGCCCCCCATCCCACGCCTGGGCAGGGACAGGGACAGGGACAACGAGGATTCCTGGCTGGGGCAGCTGGGCAGGGAGCTGGCAGCAGGGCTGGCACAGCTGCACGTGGATGCCGAGGAGGTGGACCAGGAAGAGGTGGGTTTAAATGTGGTAAAACACGCTTTTAACAGCGCCGCCCCATCCCTGGAAGTGTTTGAACACCCCATCCCTGGAAGTGTCCAAGGCCGGATTGGACGGGGCTTGGAGCAACCTGGGCTAGTGGAAGGTGTCCCTGCCCATGGCACTGGATGGGTTTGGAGGTCCCTTCCCACCCAAACCATCCTGGGGTTCTGTGACTCCTTGGCTTTGTCTTTCTGTCCGTACCTTCCGCCCTCTGGTCCCCACTGAAGGGAAGTTGAGGTAGGAAACAGGCAGAGAAGGAATTTTTTTATGTGAAATGTATTGAGCAAAAAGAGGGAGAACGTGCAGTAGCATCAAACTCTAGTAATTGTAGGTTTCCCTGCTTATTTGAGTAGGATATTGTGCTTGCTGGGCACTGATTGCAGCATTTACCTGTGCATGTGAGAGAATAGGTTTAGATGGGATATATGGAAAAAATTCCTCCCTGGGAGGGTGGGGAGGCCCTGGCCCAGGTTGCCCAGAGAAGCTGTGGCTGCCCCTGGATCCCTGGAAGTGTCCAAGGCCAGGTTGGAGCAACCTGGGCTGGTGGAAGGTGTCCCTGTCCCTGGAACTGGAAGGGCTTTGAGGTCCTTCCAGCCCAAACCATCCCATGGTTCTGGGACTGTGTTGTGCAGATTTGCTGGGGAAACCCTGGGGCCCCTCTGCGTGTGCTGTGAGCCCTCACACCCCTCCTTCAGTCTGTCAGAAAACAGAGAGCAGTTGCTGTACTTTTACAACAGTCTGTCCTGGTGCTTTGGGAAGTGGGGCTGGGATCCAGCATCCTTGGGAAGCTGCATTTGCTTGTGGGATAATTCCTCCTGTGAAGTAAAACAGCGGAAGGGATTGTTTTAATGTGCATCACCCGAGTGAGTGGCGGTCACATTGCCCAGCAGGGCCTTGAGAACTGGGCTGAACGCTCAGAAGTGTACTTTATTTAGCTTCACACAGTTTTTCCCTGTGCACTGACTGCCCCCTGTCCCTTTTCCCTCCTGGCCAGATGCAGAACTCCCTGCGCTCCCTGCGGAACAGCGCGGCCAAGAAGAGGGCCAAGCTGAGCAGCAGCATCGCAGACCTGGAGAGCCCTGACCCTGCAGTCAAACTGGATGTGTCCTTGGAACCCCCCTCCCAGGGCTCCTCCCCCAGTGAGAGTGGCATTTACAGCCAGGAATCCCTGCCCTCCCCAGTGCCCACCCTGCCCCGCAGGAGGAGAGTGATGTGAGTGCCCCTCTGTGTTCCCTGCTGCTCTTGCTTAAATGATAACATCAAATTATATTTCTCTTATGTAAAATTGTTTTGCTTAACAGGTTGATTTTTTTTTCTTTGTGAATAATTTTAATATCTAAAATATCATGCAAGAGTGGCATGATTACGTTATTCCAGGTTTTTTCTGGCTTTTAAGGTGAAGGAGTTCCCATAGTAGCCCAGGGCAGGGAGGCACTGCCAGGAGAAGTAAATATTTGATGAAGACTTTACAGGAGGGACATGACCCGTGGCTGGGCAGGGGAGGGAGGGGGAGAATGAGTTAAGAGCAAGGATAAGGTTGGCTTATTATGGCTTGGAAATTGAGAAGGAATGGGTTGGGTTCTGTGAGAAGGGCAAGACAATGTGGATGTTTCTTATTGTGAACGAAAACTGTTTCCATTTTATTGCTGACAGATAATTGTTAATTTAAAATGCCTTCACAGAGCTCTTCTAAATAGGAGTTGTCCGATGACACCCTGTGAAGGGCAATAACCCAGTTGGTTATGAGCACTATAAACTATTTTTTAATGAAATAAAGAAGTTTTTCAGGAATTTGCCAATCTCAGGGCCAATGATAAAGCTGTTTGTAGCTCTGATCTGAAGATACCTTTTATTTTTGTGTGTACTAAATACACCTTTATGTAGAACCATAGAATCCTGGAATGGTTTGGGTTGGATGGGACCTTAAAATCACCCATTTCCAACCCTCCCTTCCATATGGCTGACATACAACTGTATTAATAGAACAGAAAGAAGGAGAGGGAATAAAAAAGGAAAGGTTTTTGAGACTGGAATGACTCACAAACAGAAGGTTTTCACAGTTGTGCAGCTCAGAACCAGTTTATATTCCCTATATACATCACTGCTGAGTCACAGTTTTATAAATAGCATTTAAAGTACCACAATAAAGTGCTGGAATGCCTAAAAAGCCAGGGCTCTGAACTCCTGTGTGCCCTGCTGTGCCAGGCCAGGCCATGCCCTGTCCAACATGCCACGGCCATTGGGCTGAGCTTAATGTTTGACAGGATCCACAGAGCCAGGGAGTCTGACCCAGCAAGGAGGAGAGGCAGTGGGGCTGACTTTGGAGAAGTGACAGAATCCATCCCAGATGGCACTGAAAGCCTTGGAATGTTCATAAAAATGCCAGAGGGTTTAGCTCAGGCAGTGGTTTGTGAGCACTGGAATAAATTGGCCTTGTCTGTTCACAAAATATCTGTGGTTGGGCAGCAAGAATGTGGGGTTTGGGTGTGTTTGCTTTTGGAATGATTTGGTTTATCTACTGATAAACTGCCATGGGAGCTGGATACTGGTATTAGTGATGTTCTTGGAGCGTGGACCTTCCTTTGGATCTTAAAAGAGTGTTTATTTGTGTGTATTTTAGCCCTAGTGAGACATGGAGCAGCTCCTGTTTCCCTGTGCCCTCACCCAGCTGGGCACAGAGCTCTGGGCTGAATCATCTTTAATATTCAGAGAATCATTTATAAAAAAGAAATATTAGTTGTTCTTGTAGATAACAGCATTTTCCTGGTAAACAGGAACAGCTCATGCCTGGGAGTGACAGATGGATTTGGTCACTCTCCTGTGCCAGGCTGGAACCAGCATCATCAGTCCCCAGGCCAAGCAATTCCTTCCTTTTTGGATGTATCCCAAATTTATTCCTGGTGTAAGGTTTCCTCATGAGGGTTGTCTTTATGATGTTCTTCATAATGGACCTGCTCATCAGATAATTCCTCCTGGATTCATTTTCCTCTCCAACTCAGTGTTGACATTTGTGGAAATCCTGGAAATATTTGTCCAGGGAGAAACTGAAATCTGTTGTTGTTGCTATAAAGTGTTCTTAGCTGGGTTCTGGTTAGAATTGTACCTATAAACTGTGTTTATTTGAACAGGTCAGACACCTTTCCACTGCTTGGCAGCAAATCCCATCCTGCCAAAGGATCTCCAGGGAGGAGCAGAGACCCAGGCGTGGCAGAGCTTCCCTGCAGCACAGGTGAGTTCCTGGCAGAGCATCCCTGCAGCACAGGTGTGTTCCTGGCAGTGCTCACCTTGGTCACTGAGGGCACAGAATTGCCACTGGAAGTGGCTGTTCTCACATGTTCCGTGAGCTCACATCCCTTCAGCACTCAAAAAAAGGTCATTTCTGGGTGCTTTGGGGTCCAGCTGGGTTTTTAGTGGTGCTCAGGTGAGAAGGAGCTCCAGGCTTGCAAGCAGTTCAATTCCTGGGGGGAAATTGAGGTTCAGTGGTGCTGTTGAGTTTTACCCTTACAGTGAATTCTGCAGATTCCTGTAATGGGCAGAAACTTGTGATTATTTGTGTTTAATCAGCTTGGATTCAGCTGGCTGGAGGAAAGGAGCTGGGGGAGCTGTGTGCACAGGATGGGTTAGGCCATGGGTTTCCCAAGGAACAGCATAATGAGGGAGCAAATCCTGCCTGTCCGTGGCAGTCCAGGCTGTGGGTAATGGTTTTGCATTCCTTGGATGAAAAGACCTTTGTGAGGAGTTGACCTTCAGTGTAAAATAATGAGCAGCACATTTATTTTGCTTATTGAGCCCGTTAATCAGGCTGGGAGTGAAGAGCTGAGAGCCTGATAAGGTCATGGAATCCCAGGATGGTTTGGGTTGGAGGGACCTTAAAGCCCACCCAGTGCCACCCCCTGCCATGGGCAGGGACACCTTCCACTGGTCCAGGTTGCTCCAACCTGGCCTTGGACACTTCCAGGGATCCAGGGGCAGCCACAGCTTCTCTGGGAATTCTATTCCAGGGCCTCCCCACCCTCCCAGCCAAAAATTCCTTCCCAATATCCCATCTAACCCTGCCCTCTGGCAGTGGGAAGCCATTCCCTGTGTCCTGTCCCTCCATCCCTTGTCCCCAGTCCCTCTCCAGCTCTCCTGGAGCCCCTTCAGGCCCTGCAAGGGGCTCTCAGGTCTCCCTGGATCCGTCTCTTCTCCAGGTGAACCCCCCCAGCTCTCCCAGCCTGGCTCCAGAGGGCTCATGTCAGTGTGATATGAAAATCCTTCAGAAGGAATATTTAATAAATCCTGTTGGCTTCAGTAATTTGACAATACACTGGTTCAGGAGAGCGATCAATTAAGATCTTATATTCTTCCAAAATATCATGAAACACATCCCAGAGCACACCCATGACTTACACTGGGTGATATTTCTCCCTCCAGGCCTTGCAGAGCCCGTGTCTGGTTTTGCAGCGATGGATGATCTGGGTTTCCTGTCTGGAGACACCGTGGTGGTTGTTGGTAAAGGTATTACAGGCCCAAAATTACCTCCTGTATCTCACTGAGCTTTTGAACTGAGGGAAAACGTGCCTTTATAGAGTGGGAGAGGAAAAACAAACTGCATGCAAGGTTTTAGATGGTGAACAACTCCCAGTTTAATGGGAATATGAAGAATTGTGCTTGAAAGGGTTGCAGTTCCTGGATAGACAATTCCATTCATGACAGAGGAGTGGAACTGGATGAGATTTGAGGTTCCTTCCAAGCCAAACCATGTGTGATGCCCTGCTCTGCCTTGCAGGTGTTTTTGGGAGCCCCCCTGCTCACAGCCAGTCCATGCCATGTGTGGCCAATGGAGATGACCAGGGGGTCAGGGAGGAGACTGAGCCATGCCCAGGGATCCCTGGGAGAAGCTTCCAGCAGAACAGTGCTTCCCATTTCCATGCTGACAGAGAGGTGAGAACTGCAGGGCTCTGATCCCATCCCATCCTGCTTTATGAGGTGTGAGTCCAGCTGGACACAGCCACAGTCTCTGTGTCAGGGGAACAAGAGTTGGATTAAACAGCCCAGACCATCCAGCTGCTGCTCCCTGATTTTCCTTTTGGTTCCATCTGGATATTTTACAATGGCAAATTGCCCCGTCAGAAGCTTCCCACTCAGAAAGAGTCTCTGGACAAGGGCTGCAGGAGGGAATGGAGCTGGAGAACATTCTCTGTGACTCCCACAGCACATGGAGGTGTGGAAGGAGGGATGGGCTGGGTTGGATCACGTCTTGTTTTCTCCAGGGGTGTATTAAACTCCATTCTTAAGATATTTTACAAACCATCTGAATGTCTGCCCATAACCTGCTGTTTGTTAAATACTATTTACATCTGTGAATGGAGCAATATTTATCTGAGTGAAGTGTGAAATGAAACTCAGAAGTCATTCTGCAAGCCTTTAAAATAACATTTTAACATGACTAAAACTTGAAGTTAATGATAAGAAGTGTCTGAATTTTCCCATTTCCACTGAAGATGTGAATCCTTGGGGGGGATCAAATTGAAAGGAGTAAAGGGAGGAATGTATTAAAAGTTGCTGAGATTCCTAAGGAGCAAAAAGTGTCATAAACACAAGAGAGGGAGTAGGGTCAGATCCCAGGGGTGAAAATGCAGATTTTCCATGCTGACCTTGCCAACATCAGGAACTGGGGGGGTGAGTTATTGGGTAACTTGTGCATGAATTTTTTGCAGATAAAAGTGACCATGTCAAAATCTGCCCAGGATAAGCTGAGGAGGAAGAGAAAAGAAGAAAAAGAACTCAATCATAAAGAGCATCAGGAAGGCAAAGACCTGGAAGGGAAGGAAGAGATCCCTTGGGAAGGGCTTAGACTGAGTATGAGTGAACCAGAGAGACTGACAGCAGAAAGTGAGGATGAGGGTTTGTCTTAAATGAATATCCACTGTTCAATGCTGCTGGAAGGGGCATTAGGAGTGGAAATACTAGTTTTTAACTGTGTTCTGATTTGTTGTTGTTGTGATCTGGACGTTTCTAGGGTTTAATCTCTGTGGGGATATTTTAACATCGCCAAGAAACGGATCTTTGTCCTTAGAAAATGTGGCCTTGAATCCTTCTCTGAGAAGAACATCCAGTTTGAAGAGGTCAAAGTGTTCACCCTTGCTGGATTCTGGTAAGCTGGGACAGGAAAATTTGGGTATGTGGAGTGGGAGAGCACCAAAATGCAATTTATTTGTGCAAGGGACAGTCCTGAGGTGCTCTGGAGCGTCAATACTGTGGTGATGGAGGGGATTTAATTCATCATTGGGGATGCAATTAATCATTTTTCACCTATAATTTGTTAGGAAGGTGTTTTAAACGTCACAGGGTTTTTATTTGTTCAGCAACTTGAATAATGTAATATATTAATGACAAATGGAGTCCCTTCTGTCCCCAGAAAAATCATTTCTTGGTCCATTTGGGCACTGAGTTGCCTTTAAAATATGCAGTAGAAAGACTTAGAGAATAGAAGCTCCTACTGATGGTGGTCCAAGGTCTCCAGAATTTCTCAAGAGGCTCTTACAGGTTGTGTTTTAGCACACTGTGCATCATTTTTTACATTAAACAACCCACTGCATTTGCGTTTGTGACTCTTTATAGCGGTGGTTGCGTGCAAAAAAAAATTCATTTATATGAATGAAACCAAATCATTGAGGATATCCCATCCCTGGAAGTGTCCAAGGCCAGGCTGGAGCAACCTGGGCTGGTGGAATGTGTGCCAGGGGTGGCACTGGGTGGGCTTTAAGTCCTTTCCCACCCAAACCATCCCATGATTCCACGTCTCTTGGAAAACCTTGTGCTGGTTTAAAAGTTAACCAGCAGGGGAAATGAACCCAACTCAAAAGAGAGATTATAAGTCAGAACAACAATTTAATAAAATAATACAATAAATACGATTATACAGACAAACAGTTGGTTTTAACCCACAAAACCCAAATGTATAACCCAGCACCCTGGGGCAGGAACAGAGTGGTGTTCATTGGGCCCCCTGAGTCCAAAGGAAAAGGAGAGGGGAAAAACCTGTTGGTGAGAGTGCTGGTGCAGTCTGGGCAAGAGTGGGGATTGCAGTCTGGTTGGAAAATGGTGGTCTCAGTCTGGGCAAGAGTGGTGGTCTCAGTCTTCCTCTGGATCCCACGAGTGGTTAAAAAAGTCCCAAGACTCCAGGATTATATATCCTCCACTTCAGGCAGGAATGCCCAGTACCTCCCTCAGGGTGGGGAGTTCCACACTGGGTGTGAGGACAGGAGCATCCTCCTGTCTTGCAGCCTCTTGACACCCAGTTCATGGCCTGAGGAGTCAGGCTGCTCTGGGCAGAGGGTGTAAATGCTCTATTGATACCAGTTTCTGGGCAATGGCATGGAAGGCTCTGGAATACACAGCTTTGGGTTACACCCACCCAGTGATGAACTGGTCCCAGCTGTCCTAACCGGGACAAACCTGCTCCCTGTAGGAGCCCTCTCCACCTCCAGCTTCTTGTATCTCCTGTTTTTTGGCTGCCTGAGGTCCCGGGGGTGCTGTCACTGCCTGTGGATGTTGTGCCCACAGATGAGGCGGCGCGGGGCCGGCCCAAGGAGCAGGTGACACACAGCCCCGAGGTGCTGGACCCCTCGGAGCTGCAGCCCTTCCCCAGGCCCGACACGGCCCTGGCAGAGGCCCTGGCACTGCTGGCTGACGACGACTGGTGGGTGCACACCGACCTCGGGGGGGGGAACTGCTTCCAAACCCAGCCAGGCAGGGGGAATGTCACAAATATCACAGACAGTGAGGAGGGCTGGCAGGGGCACGGGGGAGAAGGGGGGTTTGCAGCCCAGCCTGAGGTTAAACTGAGCTTTCAGAGACTTGCAGGGATGTAAAATATATATTTTTGCCATAGCTTTGGCTGCTTGCTTTTTTTTCTTCCCTCTCTGGGAAGCAGACCCTGTTGTCAAGTTTCGGAGACTTGGTGGGAAGCCAGCTCCAAACTTGCACACTGAGTTAAAGGACTGTTCTGGAGAGGCCCCACCAACACCTTCCTGGTGCTGCCTGTGGAGCAGAAGCACCTTCCGGGTGCTTTCTCACTCTGGAATGTGGTTCCAGTGCTGCTGCCTTCAGTTTGGGGGAGGAAAGAGATCCTTTCATTGCCCCTGGTGCAAGCTGGGAACAGAACTGTGGGACACAGCTGAGAGCCTGCTGGGCTGAAATAGTCCCACATTAAAGGAAAGGCTCACTTGGAAAAGGATTTCCTGCTTTATTTCTTCCCTGGGAGGGTGGGGAGGCCCTGGAATAGAATTCCCAGAGAAGCTGTGGCTGCCCCTGGATCCCTGGAAGTGTCCAAGGCCAGGTTGGAGCAACATGGGCTGGTGGAAGGTGTCCCTGCCCATGGCAGGGGTTTGAAATATGATCTTTAAGGTCCCTTCCAAGCCAAACCATTCCATAACTCCATCACTGTCATTGCTTCATTTTACAATCCCAATTTATTTGCTGTTTGATTTCTTAGAATTTTAATATTGTCTTGAAAATTTGCAGGTGGTTTGGACTTGAAATATTATTTTTTTGCACCCAGGGAGAAGAAAATTGAGGGTCTGAACTTTGTCAGGTGCTTGTCTGCCTACCATGCCCCTGTTCTGACTGCAAAGCTCCACGAAACAAGTTTGGCTGTGGCTCAAGAGGTTAAATTTTCCTATCAGAACATTCCACTGGCTATATGTGTGTATACATGTATTTTATAGCTCTCTGAAGTGAATTGTTATGTTCAGCTGTGGTGAGTTTTCCTCTGCTGCACAGTCTCAAAAGAGACTGAAAACATGCAGATTGTAACTTTATAACATTTTTATGGGTATCTATTTTAATTCTCACCCATCGTGAATCGAGTTAAAAATGTATTTCTCCGTTGCTTTTAACGTTTCTTAAAAAATGACAGAGGGAAACATGAAGCTTTGTTTATTTTGAAGTCTATTTTATGTTTCTTAAAAAAATGACAAAGGCAAACATGAAGCTTTGTTTATTTTGAAGTCTGTTTTATCACCATTATTCACTGTTTTTTGGGTCTTTCCTGTGTGCAGGTCAAGAATTTACGCTCAGGTGTTTCTCGAGCTGCTGTGGTGTGTTTAGGGGATTTGTTCACCCACCTGAAAAAGAGCATGGACCAAGAACTAGATAATGCAGTAAAAGTCCTTTTGCACAAAGCTGGGGAATCCAACACTTTTATAAGGGAAGAGGTAGACAAGGCACTGAAGGCCATGGTTAATAATGTGACTCCAGCACGTGCACTTTGTTCTCTTATAAATGGAGGGCAAAGGTAATTCCTATACAGATTTTGTGAAGAAATAACTTGTGAATAGAGTCAATTTATTATGGGCTTTTTGAAAGAAAATCAAAAGTACAATAGACAGAAATTGGAAAAGCCAGCTTTGCTAAATCTCTACCCAGGGCAATGTTTGTTGGGATAAAAGCCCCCCTGTTCCTTTCTGTGCTTTATTTGGAGCTTTATGTATTTTCTGGCCATTTTACACCACTTCAATAACTTTATTTGCTGTCACTACAGTGTTTTTAGGAAGCTGCTGTACTGCTTTGCCTAGTAAAGCTCACCTAACACTCTTCTTTCTCATTTGCTCTGCAATCAAATGCTGTTTTGCCCAGATTTCAGCCCCCCTCTTTATTGAGAAAGCTGATTTATAACTTACAAATCTCTAGCTGCAAGTACCTTGCTTGGTTTCCTGTTCCTCTCTGGGCCGAGCTGGTTCACACCTTTGTGTCTGCATTTCAATCTCCTCTCCAGGGCTGGTGGCTGTTATTTTCTGGAGTCCCTCACACATGAGCCTCCCTTTCTGGCTGCCTGCTCTGGTTCTGGCCTGAGCTCCCCTCAGGCTGTAGCAGGAGTTAATTCCCTTCTTCCCCTGGCCCTCTTCAGTCTGTTTTCCTTTTCCTTCCTCATTCACTGTCCATCAATACTTAAATCAAGCTCTGGTGCTTCCTCTCTTCTCTGTCAGCACTTGGTGACATGTCACAGGCTGCATTTCTCCTCATGGCACATTTCAGGTGCTCCATTCTGAATCAGTCCTTGGCCTTCCTGCACAGCTCCAAATCCTCACACTTAGTCCTGATTCAAAATGTTTTCTTTCCTCTTCTGTTTCCTGGGAAGCTGGTTGTTGTGGAATGTATGGAATCAGTCTCCTGACAGCCCCACTGCAGTTACCTGGGCTTTAAACTGAAAGGCAAAACTCAGCCTTGGGGTGGGTGTCCCATCCCTGGAAGTGTCCAAGGCCAGGCTGGATGGGTTTGGAGCAACCTGGGATAGTGGAAGGTGTCCCTGCCCATGGGAAAAGCACTGGATGGGCTTTAAGGTCCTTTCCAACCCAAACCAGTCTGGGATTCTGTAATTTTTATAATAATTTTTAATTATTCTATGAATAATAATTCCCAGCACTGCTGGGAACTCACCTCTGAGCAGGTGCTTGATCCAGGAGCGTAATTCCAGGGCTAGAGCTGAAAGGGATTTTACTCCAGGAATTTACATCCTATTTCTTACCTGTATGAACTGTGTTTAAGGTTTTCTGTGCACACAAAAAGCTTTCCAGCTGGTTTCCATGGACAGGGCCATTCCTGGGGAGCAGGGGCTTGTTTGTTACGTGGAGTAGTGAGGTCTCAGCCTCACAGCTCTTGTTCTCCCCTCAGAACATGCAGCAGGAGTTAGAAACTGCCCTCAAAGGAGGATTTTCAATCCAAATATAAAACTGGAGAGGTTTGAGTTTGCAGACTTGTGTTCTTGAGCACAAGTGGGATCAGCAGGGACAGCAGGATTTACATAAAAGGCTCATTTGCTGCATGAGTTTGAAAGCTGATTCTGGCATTTTTTCTGGTTTTCATCAGCACAGCTGTTTATTTTTGGCAAAACAGGGGCCATTAGACTTGTGCAGGATCTTTAGAAGTCAGTAGAACCAGAACTAGAACAGCCAATGCTTTATTCAGTTTTACAGTGATACGAAGTCCACAGGATGTGTCTCTGAGCACAGGGACTTGTTTTCCTTGGAGCTGATGGAAAGAACACTTAGTCTAAAATACTGTGCAGTTGTTTAAGGAAAACTAGCAATTAAATTCTAAAACTCCCCTGCCCACATCCCTGCCCCAGGTGTCCCTGCCCCTGGCCTGGGGTGGCACAAGAGGGGCTCTGAGGTCCCTCCCAGGGTGTGATTCCCGGAGTGATTCCCGGATTCCCGGCGCAGTGGGCAGGGAGTGCTGTGTGCAGCCCCTGCCCCGAGCTGTCCCTGAGCTGTCCCTGCTGTCCCCTCAGCCACCTGCACTCTGCGGTGAGGAGATGCACAGCCCAGCACCTGGCGGAGCTGGTGGAGCGCCTGGGCCCCGAGCGCGTCCTGGGCGGCCCCAAACCCGCGGCCGAGCGGCTGCTCCCGGCCAGCGCCAGGTTTGCACAGGACAGCTCCCAGCAAACACGGTGAGTGAGCCACGGGGTGAGCTCATTCCGGGGGGCTGGAGGCTGGGAATGGCTCCCTGTGCCATGAGAGTCACGGGGTCCTTAAGGGTGGAAAAGATCCTTAAGATCATGAATGGATGGGGCTTTGAGCAATGTGGTCTAGTGGAAGGTGTCCCTTCCTTGGTGGAACTGGATGGGCTTTAAGGTCTCTTCCAATCCAAAGCTTTGAGTCCAGCCATTATCCCAGCACTGCCAGCAATATCCCATCCACTGTTAGGATAGTGGATGTGGCGGGAATTTCCTGTGTACCTGGTGCTGCTGGACACACCCTGGCTGCAGGAAGAAGAGGGGCTCACAGGACATGCTCTGATGGGCACAGGGGAGATACAGGCCACAGAGGGAGTCATGGCACTGAGATCTACACCTGGATCTGATCCAGGCTGTGATGGACAAGGCTGGACCATCCCATTTAAAGGCAGCTGCAGGGGAAGGCTCTTCTCATTAATTTGCTCAGTTGTTGGTTAAACAGTGATCCTTGAGCACAGTGTCTTTGTGGGAGCATGAAAAGGGTCTGGTTACACATATCAACAGCAATACTGGAATCATGGAATTGTTAAGGTTGGAAAAGCCCTCCCAGCCCATGGATCCCCCCTGTGCCCGATGCCCCCCTTGTCCCCCAGCCCAGAGCACTGAGTGCCACGGCCAGGCCTTCCTGGGACACCTTCAGGGATGGGCACTCCAAACCTCCCTGGGCAGCCCCTGCCAAGGCCTCACCACCCTTTCCAGGGACAAATTCCTCCTCCTGTCCCACCTGAGCCTCCCCTGGCACAGCTGGAGGCCGTTCCCTCTCCTCCTGTCCCTTGTTCCCTGGGAGCAGAGCCCGACCCCCCCCAGCTCCAACCTCCTTCCAGGGGGTTGCAGAGCCAGAAGGTCCCCCCTGAGCCTCCTTTTCTCCAGGCTGAGCCCCCCCAGCTCCCTCAGCTGCTCCTGCTGCTCCAGCCCCTTCCCAGCTCCGTTCCCTTCCCCGGATCCAATCTTCCCACCCTTTTATATTTAGGAACAGCATAATGCCCAAGTTCCAGAGCCAGTCCCTGTTTGTGGACATGGGTGTCCTGGTCTGCTCCCTGCAGGTACTATGGTCGGAGGATGCTCTTCAGCATGATGGCTCACCCTGAGTTTGAGAAGGCCCTGGAGAAGTACATCCCAGCCAAGGACTTGCCTTACATTAAGGACTCTGTTGCCAGCCTACGTGAGAAGGTGTGTGGGAAAGCTCTTGTTTAGCAGCTGGGACAGGTGAAGGTGTTCTGGAGGCTTTAGCTGTAGACAGTCTCCAGCACTGCAGCCACGAGAATTCCCTGTGATCCTATGGTTCCCTGAATTAATGTTGTACCTCTGTGCAGGGCCTGGGGGAGATGCCACTGGACACACCTTCAGCCAAAGGAAGACGTTCCCAGACTGGCAGTGTTGGACATTTGAGGTCATCCCCCACTTCCAGAGATGCTCTCAGTGTCCCGGACAGGTAACGACCTCCAGTGGGTTATCCTGGGAGGAACTTGACCAGGAAGAGAGTATGGAAACATCCACACAGGGCTGGGAAAATTAAACATTCCTGTGGGAAAAGGAAAACTCTGACCTGTCCCAGTTGAAGACTTAAATACAGTGACTGGTAATTTTGAAGTTAATTTGTCTCTTGACCACCTGTGAAATACACACAGCACACAAACCTCTTGGAATTCACAGTATGGAACCAAGGAACAGGGAATGGTTTGGGTCAGAAGGGAGCTTAAAGCCCAGCCAGTCCCACCCTCTACCACGGGCAGGGACACCTTCCATGTTGCTCCAAGCCCTGTCCAACCTGGCCTTGGACACTGGGATCAGTTTTCAAAGTACTTTGACAATGAAGAGTAAGTTTTGGGGGCTTTTGACCCATTGATGGGAGGGAAGTTCCCAGCTCTTACTGGTGACAAAACCAGCTGCATTTGGAGCAGAACGGATATGGGACTTCAGGAACAACAATTACTATTGGCTGGTTTATTTTTAAATCACTGTGTTTAAAGTGAAAGATTTTCTGTTCCCTTCTGATATTTGCACTGAGATGGGAAGAGAATGTCTGGGATGAGCCTCCTGTTCCAACTTGCTGCTGTGCTCACTGGGTAATGTGTTCCTTCCCCACAGGGACACCACAGAGGCCCGTGAGGTCCCAAGGAAAGCAGCTCCTCGTAGTGCCCTGGAAAGTGAAGAGTATGTTAAAGATATTGTGGGTTTGTTGAATGCCAAAGACTTCAGAGAGAGGATAACTGGCATCAGGCAGCTGCTGCTGGATACAGAGAACAGTCCAGGCCTGGTGGTTGCAAACCTCGTGAAGGTAACTGTAGGGAAAGGTTGGATTTCAAAGGTCTTTAAAGTTGGGTCACGAAGATTTCAGATAAAAATCTTGGCTCCCTCTTTGAACTGGAATGATTAACAGAGAGCTTTGAGGAGCAGGGGGGCTCTGGGGGAGCTACAAAGGGATAAGGGAAGTAATAGGAGGAAAAAGTTGGAAGTTTTCACTCAGAGGAAGCACTTTTGAACTACTGCCCAGAGAAGCTGTGGCTGCCCCTGGATCCCTGGAAGTGTCCAAGGCCAGGTTGGAGCAACCTGGGACAGTGGAAGGTGTCCCTGCCCATGGCAGGGGGTGGCACTGGGTGGGCTTTCAGGTCCCTCCCAACCCAAACCATCCTGTGATTCCATGGTTTCTGCAATCCTGTCTGCTGTTTTCACGCCACTTCGGGGTAAATATCAAAACATTGGAATAGGTTGTAAAAAGAGCAGCAAGGATTGATCAAGATCTGAAAAACTATCTCTGAAGTGGAGTTGTGGGTTTGTTTGTGTGGGAGAAGCTCAGGTGAGAATCCTGTCTGATAGGAAAGGAGACCTTTTATTGCGGGAGAAAGAAGAGGTCCAGCAGCTGTAAATTAAAGACAGATACAAGGAAAGGAAACCCAAGCTTATCCTCCAACAGTGCCATGTCTTTGTGTGGAATGATGGAATTCTGCTGTGGAACATCCCAGTATCTGAACTGTGAATGGTTTGAAACCTTTCAAGAACTGTCTGTGCTAAACAGAGCCATGTCTTCCCAAAAATCCTGGCTTGCAGGAAATTTTAGTCCTAGGGAGTTACAGGTGGCTGGTTTACCTGCAGTCCATTGCACAGGAGGGATTCAGATCAGATGAGGTGAGAGATGGTTGAGTAATTAAAGTATTAATATATCAAATGCTGCTTTATTTGCTCAAAAGACGATCTTGGGTATTTGCACGTCCCAGAATCCCAGAATGGTTTGGGTTGGAAGGGACCTTACAGCCCATCCAGTTCCAGCCCCTGGAGATGTCAGAGCCACGTTTTGCCAAGATGGACAATTGAAGTGTAACAATAACTCGGGAAATGCGCTGTCCATCTCAGACATTAGTTCCTAATTCCCAGAGTGCTTTCTGGATGCTTTTCCAGATCTTTGATGCTTTCAAGTCTCGCCTGCACGACTCCAACAGCAAAGTGAACCAGGTGGCTCTGGAGACGATGCACAAGATGATTCCACTGCTCAAGGACAGTTTGTCACCTGTGATCAACATGTTAATTCCTGCCATAGTAGACAACAACCTCAACTCCAAAAATCCAGGGATTTACGCAGCTGCCACAAATGTTATCCAGGCTCTGTGTCAGCACTTAGGTGAGTGATTTACTCTCTCTTAATTTCAAACAGTTTCAAGTGTTTTAATTAACTCTCATTTGAAGGTGTTACTCTTTCCAAGAGTTTCACAGGATTGTTATTCTCTGTAACAAATCATTGGGTTTATTCTCATACCTTTTAAGCCACACAAGTCATCCTGTATTTTGTCAGGAGGTGGTTTGGTTGTTTTTCCAGAGCTGCTGTTTTTTTGTGGTGAAGGTGCACAGGTTGCCCAGAGAAGCTGTGGCTGCCCCTGGATCCCTGGAAGTGTCCAAGGCCAGGTTGGAGCAACCTGGGCCAGTGGAAGTTGTCCCTGCCCGTGGCAGGGGGTGGCACTGGGTGGGCTTTGAGGCCCCTTCCAATGATTCTATTAAGAATATGTTTTTATGTTTTTACGCCTTTAAATCTATCCCTGTGATTTTTGAAGTTGGCATCAGTAAGATTCTTATTTCCATTTTCCCACGCTGTGTTGGATTTTCCATTGAGGGATTGTAACCCTGTTTTGCTCTTTGCCTTCAGACACCTCTCTGCTCCTCCAGCCCTTCTGCACAAAGGCCCAGTTCCTGAATGGGAAAGCCAAGCAAGACCTGACAGAAAAGCTGGCTGGTAAAGGGCTGTTTGCTTTGCATGTTTGTCTGCTACCATCTTAATTAGGGGAATTAATTGTGGGAGGGTGCTGGTTTATATCTTCCCCTCTGTCACAGTAGATTGTGGGCATAAGATGCAGCAGTTGTCAGACTTCACCCCTTTAATGTAAATTGAAGGTATTGCTGACAAAAGAAAGGATGGTAATAATAAAAATAATAATAATTTATTTTTTTATTTGTTTGTTTATTATAATTTAAACATGTGCTTTGTCATATATTTATTGTTTATAATTTATTATACACAATATATAATATATATACTATATATAATATATGTTATATATTATATATGTTATATATAATATATATTATATGTTATATAATATATATTATATAGTATACATTATATTATATATTATATATTATATATTATATTTTCATATAATATATGATATGACATATATATGATAGACACTTAATATATTTTATATTTTATATATTACATAAAGATACATAATATCTTCATCATATACTTTATATATGGATATTATATTTTCATTACGCATGTAAAAATAATACAATAACAATTATTCGTTATTAATTTAAATTATAATAATTCAACTAAAAAATTATTGTTATTATTGTTGTTGTTTTTATTGCTTCAGATGGAATATTTATAAATACCTGGAATGTATAAATATGTGTCAATACCTTAAGGGTTTAATTTACATTTAAATACCTTATGTATTTAAGTATCTTAAGGATTAAGATGTATAAATTGCTTAAGCATATTATAATTTTAATAGGGAATTGCACTCCCTCTGCAGTGATAATTCTTTCATGCTCTTTGCAGGAATCCCACAATGGTTTGGGTTGGAAGGGACCTTAAAGCCCATCCAGTGCCACCCCTGCCATGGGCAGGGACACCTTCCACCAGCCCAGGTTGCTCAAACCTGGCCTTGGACACTTCCAGGGATCCAGGGGCAGCCACAGCTTCTCTGGGAATTCTATTCCAGGGCCTCTCCACCCTCCCAGCCAGGAATTTCTTGAAAAATGCTAAATTTTCGCATTTTAAGAAGACAAGGAATGTCCTTATGGGAAATACTCTTGACCCAAACATGTTACTTGGCTTCCTTTCAGAGGAGTTCTGTGTGAAATGGAACTAAAGAACACACTGGACACTCTGTGCTTGAAATATCCCTACATTTGTGCTTTCTGAGGGTGTTTGTCACCAGCCTTTAAACACTTCTTCTCTTACTGGGATTTTTTGGAGTTATTAGTATAATGTCAGCAGAGTCTGTTCTGGGAGAAAGAGAAAGATTTGCAAATGAAACACTGAATTCATTCTTGAGGATCTTCCAGGTCTTTTCCAACCTAAATAATTCTGGGATGTAATTGTGCAAATGAACAAAATGCTTCCTTTTTTATTTATATATATGTATATAACACCTATATATATATATATATGTAAAACCTATATATATATATAACGTGTGTGTATACATATAATGTGTATATATATATATAATTTATATATATATATATAACCTATATATATATAGGTTTTATATATATATGTAATAATATATGTTATATATATAATATTTTTATATATATCCTGTACAGGGCAGGATTTGGACTCAATGGTCCCGGTGGGTCCCTTCCAGCTCAGGATATTTTGTCATTCTATAATTCTGTATTTACAGTACAAAGCTACTTTTTTCCTTTAACTCCAATACCTTCTGCTTATTTCTGAGATAGAGGGGAAATTGGAAATACCAGGTGTTCCTCTGTGAGAAATTAAGGCCCTTTTGAGAATCCTAACTAAGAAAAAAACTTGGAAAAAACCTTTATTTCTTTTACTTGTTTTAGTTTAATGGAAAATGGTGATTGTCAGCAGCACTAGTGCTAGGGTGTGAACTTCTGGAAGAGGATAAAAGGGGTGGCAGTACAGAAATCTGGGAGTTTTTTATGGGAACATTAATGATGTTGCAACACCAAGCTTTTGTGTAGAGCAGCAAGGGATCATCTACATCGTATTTTAAGTGATTGTTTAAGTTCTGAAAGCCTCCCTGCTGTGTTGCAGACCTGGTGCCGGAGCTGTACCCACGGAAGCCCTTCGCTGTGGAGCAGAAGGTCCTGGCTGTGCTCTGGCACCTCCTGGGGAACACATCCAACAGCGGCTCCGTGCCCGGCGCCTGCGGGAGCCTCCGGGCAGCCACGGCCACACTGGCCAAAGCTCTGTTTGCACAGATGGGGCCCAGCCTGCTGGCCCACGCTGCAGCCCAGCCAGCCCACATCAGGAAGGGTTTGGAAGAGCTTTTGGAGACAGGAACATAAAATCACCGGCGCTGAGGGTGAAACTCCACCGGCCGCCTGACCTGGGCACGCGGACGGGGCTGCGGGACGAGGCGGGAACATCCCTGTGTCGCTGGGCCACAGGGCTGGAGGGAGCTGCTGGGAGAGCCTGTGGGGCTGAACTGGGCTGTGCTGGGGCAGCCTGGCTGAACTGGGCAGCGTGGGGCCGGCTCCCCTCCCTGCCACCGGCATGGCCATGGAGGAGTCGCTCCAGCCCGTCTGTGCTTCCCTTCGGAGGATCCAGCCCCGGCCCCGGGATTGCTGGTGGATAACCACACACGGTCACATCAGCACCACGCTTTGCACGGATGAGTGGAGGAGAGCCCTGGGCACAGGGATGCAGAACCACAGCGTTCTGTGTGCTGTTTGTGAAGAACACGTATTTTTGTACCCCCTCAGGCAGTTGTGCAGTGTTGGCTGGGCAGGAGGCACTGCTCTGGTGGTCTCTTCTCCTTCCCCAGCCACGAGCTCTGTACGTGTTGGACATGGGACCCGACGGGATAAATAAATAAAGGGATTTATTTCTGTAAAGGGATGTACTTCTGTGAAGGAATGGGGTGGAGTGGCTGCTGGCAGAACTGGGATTGGGGGTGCTGGTGACACCTCAAGTCCTGTGTCCAGTTCTGGGCCCCTCAATTCAGGAAGGACATTGAGGGCCTGGAGCATGTGCAGGGAAGGGAACGGAGCTGGGAAGGGGCTGGAGCAGCTGAGGGAGCTGGGGGGGCTCAGCCTGGAGAAAAGGAGGCTCAGGGGGGACCTTCTGGCTCTGCAACCCCCTGAGAGGACAATTGTAGTGAGGTGGAGTCAGGCTCTTCTGCCGTGCCTGCAGCGAGAGGAGCAGAGGAATAGCCTTTTTTGAGACAGGGGAGATTCAGATTAGACATCAAAAAAACCGTCTTCACTGAAAGTGTGGTCAGGCACTGGAAGGGGCTGCCCAGAGAGGTGGTGGAGTCCCCGCTCCGGAGGTGTTTGCGGCTGGGATGTGGCGCCGGGCGCTGGTTTCAGGATTACGGTCTTGGTACTGAGGGGAGGGTTAAACTGAATGATCCTAAAGGTCTCTTGCATCCTTGAGCATTCTCTGACTCTATGGTGTGTTTCGGTACAGCGCTGTATTTACTTCCCTGCAGGGATGCGTTTAATTTCCGTCCAGTTCCACGTCCCGGCTCCTGAGGGGAGCGGCGCCATTTGGCGGGAAGGGGCTGAGGCGGGGGGGGGGGGCGGTAGCGGTTGGTGCGCAGGCGCGGCGGGAGGCGGGCGGTGCGCGCGCGCGGGGTGCGCTGTGCGCGTGCGCGGTGCGCGGTGCGCGAGGCCCGGCGGCGGCTGCGGAGGCCCCGACAGGTACCGCTGAGGGGAACGGGGCTGAGGGGAGCGGGGCGATGGGAGCGGGGCTGTGAGAGGGGCTCTGAGAGGGGCTGGGCGGGAGGGGTCGCGGGCCGGCGGGCCGGGGACAGCCGGGCCGCGGAGAGCCGGGCCGGAGGGGGGAAGCGGGGGCCGGGCCGGGCCATGCGCCCTGTGGGCCCCGCCGCCTCCCGCGGCCGGGCCTCGGGTCCGCCTTAGGGGGATCCCTGTCGTGCGGTGTGTCCCTGGTGTGTCCCCGTGTCCCTGCTCGCTGCGCTGGAAGAGCCGCCGCGCGGTGCCGGCCCCGCTCGGGTGTGTGACGTTATCGCTCGCTCGGGCCCAGAGGGGCCGAGGGCGGGAGGGAACGGCCCCAACCGCGCCAGGAGGGACATCGCGGGGATTTATCCGTGGGAAGGGTGGTCAGGCACTGGAAGGGGCTGCCCAGGGAGGTTTGGAGTGCCCAGCCCTGGAGGTGTCCCAGGAAGGCCTGGCCGTGGCACTCAGTGCTCTGGGCTGGGGGACAAGGGGGGCATCGGGCACAGGGGGGATCCATGGGCTGGGAGGGCTTTTCCAACCTCAGTGGCTTTGGGGTTCCGTGATTCAAACCCGGTCCTGGCACGGCCGGGCGGCTCCGGGCACTCCCGGCCCTGCCCCGGGTGGTTCCAGCAGCGCCTTATCAGCGCCGGGAACGGGCAGAGCTCAGATAAGGCCCCGCGATCCCGCTCCTGCCCCTTTGAGCTTTCCTTGCCTGTTTCCCGCTGGTTCATTCCCGTTTATAAGCGGCAGTTCTGCGTACAATAGTCCTTTGCTGGAAACAGGGTTAATAAAACATGCTGATGTGAATTATTTAATACCGATGTGTGTAGGTGTCTGATACACCAGTTCGGTTATTTAGCCTGAGTGGTGTAAAAACTCCTGGAATTACGGTAAAAGTCCGGAATTAGGGTGAGAAACCCTGGAATTAAGGTAAAAAACCCGCTGGAATTAGGTTTCCCTGGTGTGCCCCCGCCCTGTGCCCACCCACGGAGCTCCCCGGGCTGGAGCAGCTGGTAGCCCGGGCATGGCCTGTCCCGTTGGCTGGTTCAAACCATGGATTGCTGTCAGATTTTTGGGATAGGCCCCAGCTCAGGGACGGGACTGGAACAGCTGTCAGGCAGACTTGGAGTCAGTTTGTAACCTCGTGTGCAGCTCAGACCACGTGTGGTGATCCAGTGCTGCTTCTCCCTCTTCCTTTTTTCCCCTCCTAATCTGACGACATGTGGATTGGTTTTTTAAGCTGGAATACATCTTCTGAATCAGCTGGAGGGGGAAGACATCTGTTACACATCAGAATAAGTTTAGGCCCTGTATTATTTCATGTTAAAAACTGTTGCATTTGTTCATAGAATCATGGAATCGTGAAGGTTGGTCCCCAAGTCCAGCCATTGCCCAGCACTGCCAAGGCCACCACTGCCCCATGTCCCCAGGTTCCACATCCACAGGGCTTTGAAATCCCTCCAGGGATGGGGACTCACCACTGCCCTGGGCAGCCTGTTCCAACACCTGACCACCCTTTCCATGAAAAAATGTCTCCTAATATCCAACCTTAATCTCCCCTGGCACAGCATGAGGCTGGTTCCTCTCATCATGTCGCTAGTTACCTCTGTCACTAGTTACCTCAAATTTTAGAGCTGTAAACATCCTCTAAACTGTGTTTCCAAGTGCTGAGGCTGCTGTTTGTGTCACACCCTCCTCTTACCCTCGATTTTATGACCCTTCCCAGGTAAGCTCTGAACAGCAGTGGCTGTTTGAGTGCTTCAGCTCTGTGCATGTTGCACTGGTAAAGGCACAGATACTGCTCTGATATGTAATGTATTAACTTAGAAATGTTGTTCATTGTCAAAGTAATAGAATCCCAGAATGGTTTGGATGGAAGGGAGCTTAAAGTTTATCCCATTCCACTCCCTTCCATGGGCAGGAACACCTTCCCCTATCCCAGGTTGCTCCAAGCCTGTGGTTCCCACCTGATGTATCCAATGGAGAACAGAAATACTTTGAGAAACCAGTTATTAGAAAATAGCAGAGTACCTCACATGGACCCTTTAACATTGTGCAGGAGTTCCTTGGCTTGGTGAACTCCTGGGAAAACATGGACTGTTACCCAGATGTTGAAGCTGCTGAAGACAAGGGAGAGAGATTTTTCCTTTCTGTAAAGAATTTTCCTCCTACTGTTTCACTGGTGGTTTATCAGTATATTTGTTGAAGTGAAAGCAGTGGTCTGGCTGTTCTCTATTCAGGCTTTCAATAGGAAAGAGCTCTGGAGAGACGTGGGATGGAGACTTCTCTTTTTGCCTTTAAATGCAAAATGCATTTGCTGCCTCCTCCGAGGAAACCAAAGGAACAGGAGTGGTGCAGTGAGTTTGAGGGTGTCAGGCTCCCACTGTCCTTATCCCAGCTGGACTCCCAGCTCTGAGCTGTTGTGCTCTGGGTGTTGTTGCTCCCTAGGATCCGTTAGCCATGGTGGGCACGGAGAAGGCTGGGCTGAGTGCCCCCTGCTCCAGTTCCAGGCGGGCAGGGTGGCACACAGCCAGGTCAGGCTGGCCTGGCACTGCTGCAGGAGGGCAGGGCTGGGCAGTGGCTCCTGGCAGGGAGATCAAAGGCAGGAGTGGGAGGAAGGAGGAGTCTGTCCTGAGGGACTGGAGGAAGAAGGAGTCTGTCCGGAGGGGTGGGAGGAAGTGCCTGGCACAGGGTGTGGGTGGGAGTGAGGGGCTGTGTGAGGGACAGCATTTCTGTGGCCCTCTGGTGCTGGTTGGCTCATTTGGACTTCACCAAGGGGGACTGAGTCTGGTGCTGACAGTAATTCTTGTCTTTGCAAAGTCATCACTTAAGCCAAGCACTGAAGATATATTTTACCACCTATTTATTTTGCAAAGAAATTACTGATTTGTACTTAGTAAGAGAACTGAATGAATTTAAGGACATGGGTTAGTGGTGGCCTCGGCAGGGGTAACTTGGATTTTACGGTCTCAGAGGGCTTTTTCAACCTGAATGATTCTATGGGATGTGAACATAATTATTTAGAATAAACTTCCACTGGACTCCTACAGGAAAAGTGTAATGATCCACTTTTACACCTCATTAGCTCCCTGTGATAGTCTTTTAGAAAACCCACACCAATTTGCATGAGCAGATGTACAGATCTCTGACTGCTGCTAACATTTCTGTAGTGGTGGGTAAGGCTCGTGCACGAAGGGATGTAATGAGGGTTGTGGTGCAGTACAGGGTGCCTGGAGCACTTGGGAGGCTCTGAGCTGCTCACTCCCAGCCAGCTCTGGGCGAGCCCTTGCTGCAGGAGCGCTGAGCTGTTTGCTTTGCACAGGCTCTGGTATCACACCCTGCGCCATGGAGAGCGCCGAGGGCACGGAGGAGGAGCAGCCCACAGTGAGCAGTGATGGCCCCGAGCCCGGCGCCGAGCCCGCGGCCCAGGAGCAGCACATGGACTTCAGCACCGAGATCATGAGTGTCACCGAGATGGAGCAGTCCCCGGACAGCTCCCCGGACCTCAACGAGGAGAGCACGCAGGAGAGCGAGATCCCAAACATTGAGAGCTTACAGACCACGGACATTGAGGCCGGCTTCCCTCCGGATTTTGACAAGTTCTGGAAAGTAGTAGAGGACAATCCCCAGGATTTCACAGGATGGGTATATCTACTGCAGTATGTAGAGCAGGAGGTTAGTACCTGCCCCTTTCTCCTCAGCCTTCCAAAAATAAACAAACCAAACTAAAACAAGTCATGGGCTTCCAGTGGCGAATGTAGAATTGGACACCAGGCTGTCACAGATGCTGCCTTAAGGCAGCTGCCCTTGCCAGCGTTGTCATAGAACCATAAAATCCCAGGCTGGTTGGGGTGGGAAGGGACCTTAAAGCCCGTCTTGTTCCACATCCTGCCTCGGCAGGGACACCTTCCGTAGCCCAGGTTGCTCGATGTCAGCAGAGATCACAGTGTTTTAAGGCAGTGTTAATAATTGCTGTGTGAATAACGGGAGGTGCGTTGGAAGGAAGGAGGGGCTGACAGCTGTCCCTGTGCCTTCCCCACAGAACCACTTGCCGGCGGCCAGGAAGGCCTTTGACCGGTTTTTCACGCACTACCCGTACTGCTACGGGTACTGGAAGAAGTACGCGGACCTGGAGAAGCGGCACGACAACGTGAAGC